GGGAGAGCCGCCTGCAGCGCCGCGCTCCCTCCACTGCGTGGCGCCGCCGCTCCCGCCCTCCCGGGCCCTGGTGAGACTGGGGCCGCTCCGGGCCGGGGCGGGAAAGGGCCGTGCTGGGCCGGGTTCCCGTGACGGCCCCCGCGCTCCATCCCCGACCTCCGCGGTCTTGGAGCGGGAAAGGGCCGAGGCAGTTCGCAGCGTGCACGAACGACCACGGGCTGACAGGCGGCGGCGCGCCCGGCTTGGGGACCCTGGACCAGCCTCCCGTGGGGCCCCTGTCAGCCTGGGGCGCGCAGGGAGGTAGGAGCCGTTCGTGCAGCGAGCTAGCATCTGCTGGTATCTGGACCTCTGAAAAGTTGTTAAAAATTGTTTTGGTAACTAAACAGAAAGGTTTTCACTAGGGTCAGTTTCTTTACTCGCAAAAGAAACCGCGTGCGTGTGGGATGATGGCGGGTCCAAACTGGCTTTAGAAACGCTGTGTGCTGTCACTCAGGACCTTGCTGGGCTCACCGAGGTGGCTCTTGGAGGAGAGACTTTCCCTCCAAGTACGTGTGTGTTCCAGAGTAGGGCTCGGGTGCGGGCAGGGCGCACCCCCGCTCTCGGGAGAGGGAGTGCCGTGGCGGCCGGGACGTGCAGTGAAGGTGAGGACGGGTATCTTCGCAGGGCATCCGGCGAGCTCGGGTGCTAAATGTCCGGTCTGCCGCCTGGGTACTCTTGGAAAAGCGGCGGCGAGGCGGGCGCACGGGCGCACAGTGCCAGCAGGGAGGTGTGTAGCTTAAGGTGTACGAGTGGGTGTGTGAAGAGGGTAGTGGGGGCGAGAGTGTGTGTAGCGGAAGTAGAGCGTGAGTGTGTGTATGTGTGTGCGTGTGTGGCGGGGCAGGGTGAGTGTCCAAGTCTCCATCTGGACGCCCCCACGCAGCCGACTGCCCAGACGCGCTGGGAAGCGAGCCGGCTCCGCGCAGCAGCTGAAGGGGGGCGGGGAGCGCGCGGGCAGAGGGCGGGGGGTTCTCCGGCTGAGGATTTCTCTTGAAGCTCCCTGCAGTTATTCTGAGCCTCCTAGTGTCTACCCCCCAGCCCCTAGGTGCCCAAAATACTTAAATAAACAAACAACCCAAACCTTTTCCGTTTTCGTTCCTGTATAAATAGAAGACTTTCCAAAAAAGCAATACCGCATTCACTCTTATCACCAGCCACTTCTTTCCACCAAGTAATTCAGAAAAAAGCAGTCAGCTTCCGTGAATGCGTGCAGCTTTTTTTTTTTTTTTTTTCGCTGTCTCCTTTTGCTTGCGGTTTTGAGCTGCCAAGAAAGTGAGTAGGGGTTTGACTGTAGTGTCTCGGCTCCGCTCGGTTTCTTTCCGAAGTTTAATTTTCCGGAATGGCTCCCAAACAAGGGCTGGGGAGGCGGAGCCGCCGGCACCGGATCTTCGCCTTTTTTGGAAAGTCCCGGGGAACCGGAATTCCTCCTCGCCCCGGGAGGCCGCTCCGCAGCCGGAGCCTGCTCGCTCTCTAGCAGCGGCTGGAGCGGGGCCTGTGGTGCGCCTCTTTTCCGCTGAGCCTTGCGTCCCAGACCCAGGCTGCGGCTTGGGCCGCGCGCCCTGGGTCCCCGAGGGTCCCTGTGGTCTGCGAGCTGGGAGTCGCGAGCCCGGTGGAGCCCGCGCGGCCGAGCCCGTATGCAAATAGGCCATGTGACGGCAAAAGCCTCCTGGCCCAGCCCTGTTCCTCAGTCCATATATGGGCAGCGACGTCACGGGCATTCAAGACCTGCCCATAAATACTTAGAGCAACACTTTCCGTCTGAGAGAGCAGCAATTGATTAATAGCTCGGCGAGGGGACACACTGTTATAATAACACTACACCAGCAACTCCTGGCTTCCCAACAGCCGGAACACAGACAGGAGTCAGTGGCAAATAGCCATTTTTCTTCTTTCTTTAAAAAACAACTTGTTTGCTAGTTTTGTTTCTGTTGGATTTTTATTTTTTTCTGAGTGGTTGCTTTTAAGTGTGGAGGGCGAAAGGAGATACCAACCCAGGCTCAGTCCAACTCCTCTCCAAAACGGCTTCTCTGACACTCCAGGTAGCGAGGGAGTTGGGTCTCCAGGTTGTGCGAGGAGCAAATGATGACCGCCAAGGCCGTAGACAAAATCCCAGTAACTCTCAGTGGTTTTGTGCACCAGCTGTCTGACAACATCTACCCGGTGGAGGACCTCGCCGCCACGTCGGTGACCATCTTCCCCAATGCCGAACTGGGAGGCCCCTTTGACCAGATGAACGGAGTGGCTGGAGGTAAGCCGCGTGTCCCCTTTGCGGGCGAGGAACCGCGCGGCTCAGAGGTGGTGGGTGGGGTACGGTGGGTGTTCGGGACTCGGAGGAGAGGGTTGGGCGCGAGGCGGACGGAACTGTTAGAACAGGCTCTAAACGCCGAAAGGGGGTGAAGGAAAAGCACGCGGGAGCAGGGCCCGGGGCGCTGGAGCTGGGCGCGCAGGCAGATGCGCTAGGTCGCCAGCGAGCGGTCGGGCGCGCCAAGCGCAGGGATGGGGGTGGAAAAGGCGCCCCAGCGAGCTTCAGGACTTGAGCAGGCCTTTTGGCCGGCGGCACGCTGGCCTGCCTTCTCCCGGCGTGGGGGCAAAGTGACGGGAAAGTTCGGGGTTCCGGGGAAGAGCTGCGCGTCTGGAAAGCCGAGCGGCGGAGAAGCGCCTGTGAAAAGCGTCCTTCTCTCTCCGCCCGGGGCAGAGCGGACTCCGGGAAAATCTCGGAGCGCGCACCCCCACCTGCGTGCCGCCCGCGAAGTTGAGGGGGTTAGCGAGGCGGGGGCTCCGATCGGGGGAGGCGGGGGGAAGGTGGAGGAGGGCGGGCGGCAGCGGGAAGCGGCCCCCGGGATGCCGAGGAAGGCCCGCGGGGGCAGAGGCGCCGCGGGTTTCCTTGGCGATGCTGGGGAAAGTCGTCTCCCGCGGCTCTCGCTCCTTCGTCGAAGCCCCGCCACAGGCCTCGGGCTGGGGCGGGGACGCGCGGGTGGCGCGCAAGGCCGAGAAGGTTGGGAGGGAAGGGAAACCTATAGACTCTGACCCCCGCAGCCCCCGACTCTCTCCAGTAGCTATCAGCTGATGCACAGAGGGAGAGGAAGGGAGGGAAGCCATCGGAGAAGGGGAGTAGCCGAGAAATACCGGCCCCCTTCCTAGGCTCCTCTCTCAGGCTGGCATCTTCGCGGCCCTGGCAGGGATAGGTCGGTTCTTGGGTGTTGTCTGTCCTGGAGCCCCGGCCGTGGGACCCCCCCCCGAGGCAAAAGAGAGGGAATGAAGTTCCAGGCAGATGAGGAATTTTTAATATTGTTGTTGCTGTTACTGGGTGTTTTTACTGGGAACTAGAACCCCAGATGGCTGTGTGTTGCGGGGAGGGGGGCGTTGGGGGAGCTCATCCTGCTTTCCTGGAGGTAGTTCTTGACTTCCATACTGTCACGGGCTGCCACAGTGAGAACTTGGGTTAGCCTCTTTTTACTGTCTCTGGGCCTCAGTTTCCCCAGCTCTGCAGTGCTGGCATCCTGGGCCTTGGGAATGGATCCTCCTTGAAAAGGAGTGAGAAGAGAGTTCTTGGCCTGCATTCTCATTGCTCCATCTCCATTCTGCCTTTTTCCTCCCCAGATGGCATGATCAACATTGACATGACTGGAGAGAAGAGGTCCTTGGATCTCCCATATCCCAGCAGCTTTGCTCCCATTTCTGCACCTAGAAACCAGACCTTCACTTACATGGGCAAGTTCTCCATTGACCCCCAGTATCCTGGTGCCAGCTGCTACCCAGAAGGCATCATCAATATCGTGAGCGCGGGCATCCTGCAAGGGGTCACCTCCCCAGCTTCGACCACAGCCTCGTCCAGCGTCACCTCTGCCTCTCCCAACCCACTGGCCACAGGACCACTGGGTGTGTGCACCATGTCCCAGACCCAGCCTGACCTCGATCACCTCTATTCTCCACCACCACCACCGCCACCTCCTTATTCTGGCTGTGCTGGAGACCTCTACCAGGATGCCTCGGCGTTCCTATCGGCAGCCACCACTTCCGCCTCCTCTTCTTTGGCCTACCCACCACCTCCTTCCTACCCGTCCCCCAAGCCAGCCACGGACCCGGGTCTTTTCCCCATGATCCCAGACTATCCTGGATTTTTCCCATCTCAGTGCCAGAGAGACCTGCATGGTGCAGCTGGCCCAGACCGCAAGCCCTTTCCCTGTTCCTTGGACTCTCTTCGGGTCCCGCCTCCACTCACCCCGCTCTCCACCATCCGCAACTTTACCCTGGGGGGCCCCAGTGCTGGGGCCACAGGGCCAGGGGGCGGTGGAGGCAGTGAGGGACCCCGGCTGCCTGGCAGTAGCTCAGCAGCAGCTGCTGCCGCCGCTTCCTATAACCCACACCACCTGCCACTGCGGCCCATTCTGAGGCCTCGCAAGTACCCAAACAGGCCCAGCAAGACCCCAGTGCATGAGAGGCCCTACCCGTGCCCAGCAGAAGGATGTGACCGCCGCTTCTCCCGCTCTGACGAGCTGACACGGCATATCCGAATCCACACGGGCCACAAGCCCTTCCAGTGTCGGATTTGCATGCGCAACTTCAGCCGCAGTGACCACCTGACCACTCACATCCGCACCCACACTGGCGAGAAGCCCTTTGCCTGTGACTACTGCGGCCGCAAGTTTGCCCGGAGTGATGAGAGGAAGCGCCACACTAAGATCCACCTGAGGCAGAAGGAGCGGAAGAGCAGTGCCTCCTCATCGTCGGTGCAGGCTGCATCCACGGCCGCCTGCGCTGGGGGCACGCAGGCTGGGGGTGCTCTGTGCAGCAGCAACAGTGGCACTCTTGGTGGTGGGCCGCTTGCCTCTTGCTCCTCTCGGACCAGGACACCTTGAGATGAGACTCAGGTTGACACACCAGCTCCTTGAGGCCCCAGAGGCCCCTCATCCACGCGAGCTGCATGACAAACACTACCACCCTTTCTTGTCCCTCCCTCCCTTCATTGGGCAGAGGGCCTTGGTGGAGCCCAGCCCTGCCCGGCTTTCCACTTAAAAGCAGGTCCTTCCTAAAACTGGGCCCATTTTAGTCTCTGGTAGATGAGTTGACTATCACCGCAAGGTAAAGGAGAGGCTTGGAAGGGGGTTGGGTGGGGTTGACAGGCCTAGAGAGCTGAGATCTGACCCTGCTGTCAAGGATTGTTTGACTGGGTTTTGCTCCCCCACCCCTTCACTTTGACCCATCACAGGTTTTTGACTCTGGATGTTAAGAGTTGTTCTGGGACTTTTTCTTCAGTAGGTTGGGAGATGCTGGTCCCTCAAATGGGGACAGCAGAAAGACAAGCAAAACTGATGTGCACTTTATGGCTTGGGACTGATTGGGGGACACTGTACAGTGAGTGAAGCATGGCCTTTGTGCCACATTCTGTGGCCCTAGAACAGTGAATCAAAGCTTATGTAGTCGTCTCAACCCTTTAAGCAATATGTATTATAAACTCAGAGAACAGAAGTGCAATGTGATGGGAGGGACATGGCAATATCTGCTCCTTTTTGAGTTGTTTGAGAAACGCAGACTATTTTTTCAGTGTATATCCACTCAGATTTTGTGTATTTTTGATGTGCACTGTTCTCCAAGTTCTGAACCTTTGGGAAAAAAAGCATTTATGATCTCTTGACATGAGTCAGAGGGTAACTTATTTAAAGGGGGATGTACATATATTCTCTGAAATTAGGATGCATGCAATTGTGTTGGAAGTGTCCTTGGTGCCTTGCGTGATGTAGACAATGTTACAGTGTCTGCATGTAAATGGGTTGCCTTACTATGGAAAAAAAAAAAAAATCACACCTTGGGTTTCGTATGGCTGTATATTTCTGCCTATTAATATTTGGAATTTTTTTTTAGAAAGTATATTTTTGTATGCTCTGTTTTGTGACTTAAAAGTGTTACCTTTGTAGTCAAATTTCAGATAAGAATGTAAATAATGTTACTGGAGCTGACTTGTTTGGTTATTAGCTCTTAATAGTTGTGGAAATAGAAATAATCTATTCTAATGCAAAACCACTAACTGAATTTCAGATAATGGATGGTTTATGACTATAGTGTAAATAAATACTTTTCAACAATATTTTTGCTGCAGAAATCATTTTTGAAAGACGTTCTTGGGTGCCGTTGAATCGAGACCAGCTGGGTGGGAATTCAACAGCCGGCTGACGGCTAGTAGGACTAAACAGCACTGAACACCAGCGGGTTAAGTGTTCTGGCCAAGCCAGGACCTCCGAGTTTTCTTTGCTAGCCTGTCAGCATCAGCCCTCTAACCCCAAAGCAGTCTCCATTCATAATCAAAGGCAAGCGTTTGGGGATTTCCCCCCAGACGTTAGTGTAAAAATGGGGAGGCGGTGTTTTGACTCATTGTTCCATCCTCTAAAACAGCCTATAGCCTCTCTCCATCCCTGAGTGGGCTCCGGAAAATAAATACTTACAAACAAGTGCCCACTCGGAGACTACACATTTGCAACTGCTTTCAGAACCCTGACCAGGGACCGGAACGCAGACGAGATGCGGATTTGTGGAAAGTGTGGTGGCGTGGTCAAGCTGGAAATGACTTTCAGGTTCCAGGATTAGTCTCATGACCACAGAAAACTTTTTGAAAACCACTATCGCCTCTTCAGATAAAAAATGCGCTCAGTCGCTGCTGATGACAGTGGTAATGGGTTGTCAAAGGAATTACCCCAGGACTCATTTCTCTCCAGCCTTCACTCCCCAGTTGATTAACCCTATTCCAAAGGATCATTAATATGCTATACGTTTGGTGGGGTTAAAGACTATCCAAATACCCAGCCCATTAGATACGACAGGTGTACACTAGCCAAAAAATCTCAAAAAAGACATACGGTCCTCCCTCCTACTAGATAATGGTTTGCAGAAGAATGCACTACAGGGCTCGTTCCACTTTTTGTAGTGATTTTAAAATAGAAATGTACCAAAAATGTTGTTTATCTACCCATCATACAAAGCAAATAGCGTTTTTACTAAGTTATCATCTCTACCCTAAAATCTGGCTTCTATTTACTTTCATCCACTGCCTTTGGATACTTACACAGGTGTAACGTGTCACACCGCCCACCGTTTAGCGAGATCTGAAAACCCCTTCATTTGTTTGTCCTTTGCCACTATTAGACTTGGCTGATAATTGATGGCCTGTATTTCAGGACAGCAGACAGCGACAGCTACTCCTGGAAACCACCTTTGCTCTTACCAGCACTAGAATTTGAACCAATTTGTGGAGGTAATTAACCTTTTTCTTCTATATCTCTTTCCTCTGTCTATACTTCCAAGATGCAGAATATCTTTTTCTATAACTACTAAAATAGAGGTTTCAAAACTTGTGTTCAGATTTTTCTAGTGACTGGTCTCTTTCCATTAGATTAGTATTTCCCAGTTTGTCGGCATATTAACATCCTTGCTTGGTCCATTTTGATAAAGAAATATGTATAAAACAATGTCACATTTTGATAGGTGTTTTTAAGGACTACTTCTCTCCTACCAAGATTTCATTATATTAAAGTATGGTACCCAAATTTTAAAACATGTAATTGCCGTACCAAACTTTAATTTCGGAGCACCTCCAATCAAGATGATCTAAACAACTGTTTACAGAGCCACAGACTAAGAGCCATTTTGTAAAGGATCAGATTGAATACATTTCGATGAAAGCCAAATTAGTTACATAATGGCTTTCACCTTTACGTGGACTTGTTGAGGTGGCAATAACATACCGTAAGAACCACCACCCTTGTGTTTTCTCAGAGCCAACCTTGTGGCTTTTACCCCTTGACTGTAACATGTTAGGTCGCTATCTTTGATCTGATTTTGCTGTGCTTGAAACATTCAGGGGCCTTTTTACAGATGTCTGATTTTTTTTTTTTTTTACCTTGCTGCTAAGAGCTCGGCTGCTAACCAAAAGGTTGGCAGTTCGAATTCACCAGCTGCTCCTTGGAAACTCTGTGGGGCAGTTCTACTCTGTCCTATAGGGTTGCTATGAGTTGGAATAGACTGGACAGCAACAGGTTTGGTTTTTGGTTTCAAGAAATGAAGCATATAGTAATAAGCCTGCTCCTTCTAATCTCTTACATATGGTTTATTGGATATTATTGATGCTTCAGCTGTTACTGGGAGTTTTAATTAAAAAGTAACTTCTAGAGAATAATTCCTTTAATATTCATAATGCTTTTGAGATGGTTCAGTGCACATTAAAAACAGGTATATTAAACCTAAATAAGGTTTTCAAGTGTCTGTAAATCAGGTTTTAAAATTTCAATATCCTAACTGCTAACAAAATTAAGGAAAATTGCTTTTGTATATTTTAAAAATGGTTGTAGTGACGTTTTGATAGTCCAACACAGTTTTTTTGTTTTTGAGGGAAAAAATGGTCAGCACCAACAAGAAGTGCCTAAAACGTTGCCAGTCCAAGCTACAGGCACGTTATGCCTGTGTCAAGTTTTGCAAGACAGTGGCATGTCACAGTAAATAAACAACTCAAATAATTCTACAGAAAAAAACAAAGTCGAGAAGATAACATAGTTAAGTCTTAAGATTCTCTTCTCCTAGGATGGAAGTACTTTTGTTTCCTTGTACTAGTTTATTTCCCTTAGGTTAAACATAAAGGGAGCTTTTTTCTCTTGTGGCAAAATAGTATGATTAGACATGTTTTCAATGGGTTTTCACTCCGAATATTTCAAAGCTCACTCTCAAGAAAATAACTACTTTTGAATTTGTATTATTTCTCGGACTTTAGAAATTTGCAGGCCACGTTTTTGTACAACATCATCTGCAGTATAGACTGTGAACCTTCAACAAGCAAAATGTAGACATCATAGCAAATAATATTTTCCTTCTCCATTTTGCAGTAATCAAGTAAGATCTACCTCTAAACAATTTCAAACATACCTTTATTTTCCGAAAGTACACTGAATGATTTTAACCCAGGAATGGGAAACATCCCTGGGTTTGAAGAGTAGGTATCTATGTGGGACTTACAAACGGTTTTCTTCTTTGACATTAGATGCCTCACTCTACTGGAGGTGATCAGTGGCGGCTTCTGTGTATAACCTGAAGTACCGAATTCAGATCATAAGTTAACAGGAGTAGCGGTACCCTCAGGTCAGAGTTGAATAGCAAGGGACAGAGCCCTGAATTAAAGATACATTGCTTCTTCCTTTTGGGCAGTTGAACTAGAGCACAAGATTCAGAACGATTTGGAATAGATGAGTGATGACTGAGTCCTTCCTGAGATGCCAAGACTGAGGCACCTACAAGAGAACAATGCAAAAGGGGGAATACAAGGTGCGTTCTGGGAGAAGGGCCATTAGTGTTAAAAGGTCGGAAGACTCACTCCTGTTGCCAAAACACATATTACTTAAAAAGTAGATCACGCTTTTCATTAATAGACAGCAGCTGGTGTAAACGCAATCCATGCAAAATCAGGCTTAGTAAAAATCAATTCTTATATAGTAGGTAGGTACATAATACTATCCTCCATTGACATAGCTGGTCATTAATATAACTAGAAAATTGAAAAGCTTTAGAAGTAGTTAGACAATTTCTCACCCATGAGAGGCAATTATTGCATTTGTTATTCAACAGAAAAGTTAAATTACTGTCATTGTGCTTATTAGTCTCTCCTAGGGGAAGGTAACTTTTATCCCATAGTTGTTACCAAAACGTCTGTATTGCAGGAATACATGGAAACACAATAGCAGCACAAGCAGTCAGTCAGGAGTTAACAGTTTATGCATAGAGGTGCAAGGTCCTCTGCACCACATTTTCTCTGTAAGGAGAACATTCTTTCTTTTTAGTGGCTCACTGAAACAGTTCCATTTTAGTTTCTCCATTGATTTACTCAGAATTCATTAGTGAACCAAAAGTTTCAATGTTCTTAATGAACTAAACTGGAGATCATATTGCTCTTTTAGCCTGCAACAATTTCAGTTATTCTTTTGAAAAGCACCTTAGTTTTTTTTTCCCTCCAAATTGCTTGTAATTGAGAACTTTAAACCAAAAACGTTTATGATTATGAAAAAATCGTAATGAAATTTGGAACAGTTCTTCCTTTATTACTGTCCTATTGTTGGACTGAGTTTTTGTAGGTTAATGTACTCCAGGTTGTATAACATATACATTAATATAACCCTTGTTAATTTTTTGCTACAATATAAATCAAAAGAGATAGGTCTATGTGATTGATAATCATACACACTCATTAGTGTGCTGAAAAAAAAAATCTCACGTTTTATTTTGGGAACTCTTTTCTAAGAAAATCATCATTTGCCTATCCAGAATTTATTTTCAAACTGAATGGCAGGAAGAACTGCTTCAAACTGCCCCTAAGGCATAGTAAAACCACACCAGAACATGAGGCTACAATAAAACAATTACAGTAACCCTGGAGGAAATGCTTGGCAGTAGGCACATATTATGCCTGCGGTGGATTTAGTGGCCTGTCACATTAAACAAGCATCATCTTTTTTGTTAAAAATAATCAAGAGTTTGCTTATTCGTACTATTGTAAAAATTGGGAACAAGTATTCCTTCACCCTGAGCCTTTGTAACCCAGTGTGCATGAAGAGGCAAAGGCACATACTGTTTCCGTACAGGGTCAACAAATACTTCCCACCAATAGCAATCTTCCTTTATTACAGATATTAGAACTCTATTGCCACATGGGCAAGTCAATCAAGAGGGCTTAGACGACAGCTGGGCAAATTTTAATGTGTTTATTTCTACAATTTGTTTTTATTAAAAGTTTCGTGAAAAAGGAAATCCTATAAATAGTAAAAAGGGGGAAACGATAGTGCTCCATGGCCTGAAGCAAATGGTGTCAATACATTTGTAAACAAGGTAAAGTAGCTCAGCCTATTTAAAGGAGAAAAACAAAAGTAGTCACAGATAGCACAACTGTTACTTTCAAGGAGTAGGGAGTGGGAAGTGTTTACTCCTAAGTTCTGATGCCTGAAGACCTATTACTGGAGTTAATTCTCAATTTTCTAGCTTTGCTCATCTGGGCCTTCCACCTCTTCCTACAGAAAACCACATTAGATGCAGCAAACATTCACTCTCCTGTTTGACAGTTTCTGAGCTAACATTGCCAGCAACAACATAGCTGGAACCACAAGCCCTCTGGAACATTAAAGTTCCTGAAAGAATGTAAAACATTCCTCAACATATTTTTCTCTACTTCTGCAGGAAATACTGGAAGTAAACAGGGACAGAGAATTCAACAGCTGGCTAGGGGTATTTTACATTCAGTTGTTTGGAAGCGTAACTGATTTAGCATCTCCATATTTTCTGGTCAGAAAATACAGAATTACCCTATAGCCTCTTAAAATACTTTAAAAGGAAGTAAGTCATTTCAGCATAATATAGTCTTCGCGTTAAAGGTGAATCTGAAACAAATCTGCACAACTCAGATCTGGAGACTGATGGGAAAGATAAGCTTTATGTGACCACTTGTCAGAGATACACAGGTGCTGACTTTCTTAGATGCTGCTAGAGTAAACCAGATGTGGCTACTGGGTAAAGGAGGAGAAAAATCTTGTCCTCTACATGCATAGTTGTGTTTTGGGGGTGATTCCCCAACTCTGAAAAAGGTTTTAATTTTCACAACGAATTAAATAGGCAAGACAGCTCGCTTTAAAAAAGAGTAGCTCTTCTCTTTAAACCTAGTTTTTACCAATGACTCGAACTAAAAACAATTCAAGCCACTGGCTCATGCACAGGCAATAAATTAAAAGTATAAGGATAAAGGCAAAAGGCCATAAGTGGAAAACAAACCCTATTTAATGAAGGAGGAAAAAAAAAAAAAAAAAAAACCTAGTGTATTTTGAACTGAATTTGTATTTTGGGTGAGGAACAGAGAAAGAATATTTTCATTATGGCTTTAGGATGGAAGCGCTTCAGACAGGCCCCTGCCTCACCTCCTCCTCCAAATCAAAACCCTGGTGGCAGTGACAGAGCCAGGAAACAACCTAGTCTCCCCGCCTACCCCGCCCGCATAACCGTGCCGGGTGGCTGCTGTCCAGTCGCCCGCACTTCCCAAGACTCCCGAGGAAGCGGTTGCGGCCCGTTCCAGTACATCCAACGCCAAAACAGGGGATTAGGGAGAGAGCCCTTGTGGTGGGTCGCGGGCAGCCAGGCCAGATCGGGATGGGGCACGTCTTCGGGCCGCCGTTCCCGGGCGCCAGCGGCTTCACGGGAAGACCTTGGGACCTGGATAGGGTTCTCCCTCGCACCAGAAGTCATCAGCCTGCGGCGTCTCCAGGAGCCATACCTCTCGGGGCAGGTCACAGGTCGAGCTGGAGGCCTCCTTGGGCCTGACGGGCTCCAGCACCCGGTAATAGTGGCAGTCTCGGCCGTCGTCGGGGTCGTAGGGCGGGGCCAGGATGTCCAGGAAGGCAGCTGGCCCGTCCACTGCGTCGATCTGGTGCAGGTTGTCCCGGTGCGGCGTGAGGATGCAGGGGCCGCTGGCCTCAGTGTACTCGGCCCGCGAGCGCAGCACGCCCGGCTGCACGGCGTCCCGCTCCCAGGCCTGCAGCGGCGGCTCGAACTGCTGCTCAGACGGAGGAGCCGGCGGCCGTTGCCCGCCGCCCGCCTCCAGCTTGTCCATGCAGCTGATGCGCACAGTGCCGTACAGCACCTTAAGCATGCCGTGCATGCCTGGGTGGTCGTGCAGTGGGATGGATGTGCCGCTCTTGAGCAGGAACACGCCGAGGCTGAAGCCGTCCGTCTCGTAGATGTGCATGTAGGTGACGGGCGGCAGGCTGGGCGGCAGTGGCTGCAGCGTGGCCTTGCGCGGGGCGATGTTCAGGTCCTCAGCGCGGACCTGGGTCAGCAGGCTCTTCAGCTTGCTCAGGTTCTCTGGGAAGCCCGGCGGCATCGGCGCCTCGGGGCCTGGCGCCGCGCCGCGGTCGGAAGCGCTGCGGCCGCCCCCGCTGCCCCGGAAGGTGAGGCGCGCCTGGCGGGCGATCCGTTGGATCAGGGAGGCCATGTTGTCTCGGGGCATGCTCGGCTGTTCCTCCGCGTGCCGGGGCCGGCTCCCAGCGCCCCCAGCTTTCCTCCGCCCTTTGCGGTCCCCGGCGGCCGCCACGGCTGCCCGCAGCCCGGAGCGAGGCGAGAGGCCCCGTAACTACCAGCCCGTCGGGCGCGCGGCGCCGCTGCCGCCAACCTCAGCAACCACGCGCCGGCAACCGCCTGGCGCGCTGCCTCGCGCCCCTTCCGAGCGCGCACGCGCACGGCCCACTCCCTGCACTCACGCTCCAGGAGCAGGTACCGGCCGCACGGACGGTGCCAGGCTTTGCCTTACGCCCCACGCTCCATTCATGCGGCCCGTATCTAAGACGGTGGCCGGGTGCTTCGGGAGGCGTGCTAAGCATGCTGGGACTTGTAGTCCAGTATTCCGCATGCACTTTGTGAGCGTTCCGTTTGTCAACTGGAAGGGGAAAGGAATATTACACATGTTGGGCATAAGGCGACCTTTTTTAGTGTTCTAAGGTGTTTGTTTGCTTGTCTGAAAAAAGATGAACTGGGTGTGACAGAAGTAGCCACTTAACTACAACTCCCGGCATCCTCAGCAGGCTGGGTGATGCACTTCCGGCAGCTGGATTGTGGAGTGGTGGTTTTTGTCTATTACGAGGAACAGGGCAAGCGGATCGTTAACCTTCTGGCGCCGTTCGGGCCTGCTCAGCCACGCAGGGTCGCCTTCTTCTGGCCTCGTCCCTGGGAAGAAGTCTGTTGAATAAAACTTCATTCCTCCTGGCTGTCTAGGCAGCAGTGTCAGCCATGGGGGCGAGAGGGTCGAAGCCTACCCAGGTTGTCCCTACGGTTACTCTGCACAGCCGGGGCCAGCTGTTGTTTGCATCAGGGTCTGGATGACGCTGCTTTTCTGGTTACAGCGCACGATACTTTCTTGCTGGGAGAACTTGAGAGACCATTGGCTGTGGTCACGAATTCTGTACACCAGTGGTTACCAAACCTTGGTTTGCCTGAGAAACACCCAGTTATAGGGGAAGGGGCTTTTCAAAAATGCAGGTTCTGGTGGTCATCCAGAGATTATTAATTCACTGTATGATTTTGAGGCATCCTAAGATGCAAGAATCAGACAAACTTCTGACCTTCACCTTTGACACATTATTCTTTGTGAAGTGAACTAAGTTTTGACATAAGCAGATCCTAACTGGAAAAAGCAAGACATTAGATACCGTGACTTTAAACTGGGCTCTGAGTTAAAAGTCCTTTTGGACTTCCAAAGTTAAACGTGCATTTCTCGTTCATTTTTAAATTGGGGTGGTTCAGTAAAACCTCTCCGGTTAAAATAGGCATGCTTTGTTTTCAACAGGCTAGGTACCTAGCTAATGAGCACTCACTATTTGCCAGGCACTGTGTTAAGTGCATTACTTGATGAATATACTGCTTAATCCCCACAGGAACTCTTACCAGGTAGGCACTGTTATTTTGTAGATGAGAGAGTAAGTTGTATAAGGACGCACACTAGTAATCGACAGGCCATAAGCATCAGAGCAGAAATAAGTAGTTTTACAAAAAATAGCAGCTTGAATTGTAAAAAGCACCAAATGGGAAGTCAGGATATTGTTTTTCCAACCTACTGTGCCACTTTTATATCTTTAAGTAGAGTCTACCCTTTTAGGACCTCAGTTTATGCATTTGTAGAATGCTGGGGTTAGGGTAACAATGGTTCTGAACCCTGAGTACTCATCAGAAGCCTCTGGGGGGCCTTAAAAAAAAAAAAAAATCAACAAAATGAGACTAAATGGGCACGCCAGCCCAGGACCAAGGATGAGACGGCAGGAGGGGACAGGAGAGCTGGTAACAGGGAACCCAAAGTCAAGAAGGGAAGAGTGTTGACATGTCGTGGAGTTGGCAACCAGTGTCACAAAACAATATTTATATTGTTTAATGAGAAACTAATTTGCTCTGTAAACCTTCATCTAAAGTGCAATTAAAAAAAAAAAAATCTGAGTCACACCCCAGAGATTCTGATTCAGAAGAACTGGAGCGAGGCCTGAAATTTTTATTTTTAAGATGCTCCCCAAGTAATTCTTCATGATCAGCCCAGTTCTCAAACCACTGCTAGATCTGTAAATAACGAATCAGCTCTTAATGTTAGGTGATTCTGATTATTGTTATGTGTGATTCTGATTATGGTTGTTGTGTGCTGTCGAGTTGATTCCGACTCATAGCGACCCTATAGGACAGATAGAACCGCTCCATAGGGTTTTCTAAGCTGTAATCTTTACAGGAGTAGATAGCCAGGTCTTTTGTCCTGTGGAGCTGCTGCTGGGTTCAAATCGCAGATTTTTTGGTTAGCAGCCCGACACTTTAACCATTGTGCCACTAGGGCTCTTTGACTCTGATTAAGAGGGTGATTATTTGTTTTAGAAAAGGACTGTTAAGATTGATTCTTTTTCAGAGGTTACCATGCTGTGGTTAAGTTGTTTAAAGGCACTGTCAGAATTCACCATGTAAAGAAATCCCACGCGATCTGTTTCTAAAGTTAGAAATGTTTAAAGAAAAAAATCCCCTTTCTTCCTTCATTTACAAACCTGAATTTTTATTTATTGGTTTTATTTCTAATAATGTATAAGTAGTGGGAGATACACACGCCATAGGGCACAGACTTTAGTAACAGACACATCTGTTTGATTTGTAAATGTGTCACTTCTTGACAGCTCTGTGTACTTACTTCACTGAAGTCCAATATTTTCCTCTCTCAAATGAGGTTATATACATATGTAAATCACTGATGACAGCATCTAGAACAGAGTCACTGCCCCATAAGTTGTTGTGAAGTGCTGTTGAGTCAATTCCGACTCATAGTGACCCTACAGGACAGAGTAGATCTGTGCCTTAGGGTTTTCTTGGCTGTTATCTTTACAGAAGCAGATTGCCTGGTCTTTTTTCCCACGAAGCCACTGGTGGGTTTGAACCACCTACCTTTTGGTTAGCAGCCAAGCTCTTAACTATTTTCCCGAGGCTCCTTGCCACATAAGTAGTAGCTATTATTATAGTTTTCATATAGTGAAAAGCTGTAGTTAAAAACCAATGAATTTAAGTAACATTCAGTAAATATTGTAATTTGACTTGTCTTGGCAATCAGCTTCAGTGTACTGATAAAAACAGATTATTGGTGATCATTGGACCATCTGCTTGCTAATACCATCCTTTGGCCCCTTGTATTCATCTTTGGCCTAAGAGTTTAAGGTTTCCAAAGATTACCTACTTGTGTCAGAATCACTTAGGGGTGTCAGATTCCCAGATCTCAGTGGAGACCTACTGCATCTGAATCCTTTGCCCATTTAAGTTTTTTGAGAACAGCTGAGTGTCCACAGGACGTGTGGTACTCTTTTAGGCCACAGACTGGCTACCTCCATAATTTCTTTTGATGCTGTCCGTCAGAGCTGCACCAATGGATGACCCTAAGGGCTTTTGCCCTTAAGAAGTGGTTTACTTGGCTGCCTTCCCCACTATTGGTAGCACAGACTGAGTGGGTTTCTATTAGCATTAATAGTTTTTTTTATGCTCCTTATTCTGTATTCCTCTCTGCTGCTGTAAACAGAAAGAAGACCAAAAGAAATGCAGAATAGAGAACATAAGAAAAGGAAGTGGTAATGAAAAAGTGCTAGCAAAATACATAGTTAGTGGGAGATACAGATTCCATAAGACATAGACTTTAATAACAGATCTGTTCAATTTCCAGATCTGGCACTTCTTAGTGGCAGAAGCAAAGTTTGAGTAAAGTTTGGGATAGAGGGAATGTATCATTCAGTGAGTATCCACTGGGTACCAGGTGTTTTTCTAGGCTCCGAGCTTTCAGCAGGGACAAGGGTGACAAGGTCTGCACTCCCAAGGAATTTGCCTTCAAACATGGGGTGAGGGTGGTACTGGGGTCACATAGCACAAATAAGCGTGCAACATAATTTCAAACAATGATAAATGTCATGAAGACAATAAAACAGGATGATGGGATGATGTGATATTTGTATATATGTGGTGTGTTACTTTAGATTGGGTTGTCAGTGTTGACCAGAAGGTGACACGATATTAAGGTATCAGCCACGGAAAAACAGAATGGACAGAACGTTACTGCATTCCACCACCAGGAGACAGCCCTAATGTTGTTAAATAGAGTATTGAATACTGACACTTCATCCAGGTGGGAAGGAGCTCGATATGAGTGGGAAAAAGAATGAAGGCCTGTGAGGTTAGACTGCGTAGTGTGCTTCAGAGTTTTTGGAGGAGATGAAGTTGGAGAGATAGGCAAGGGCCACATTACGTAGGGCCTTGTAGGCCATGGTGGTGGTGGTAACTGCTGTGGAGTTGGCCCCTGCCTCGTGGTGACCCCATGCACAATGGAACAAAATGCTGCCTGGCCCTGCATCAGCCTCATGATCAGTTGGAGATCAGACCATTGTGATCCATTGGGTTTATTTGGAAGTTGATTGGGTAATATTTGGAAGTAGATCCCCAGGCCTTTCTTCCTAGTCCTTCTTAGTCTGGAAGCTCTGTTGAAACCTAGTTCAGCATCATAGCAACATGAAGCCTCCACTGACAGACGGATGATGGCTGTGCATCAGGTGCATTGGCCAAGAATGGAACCCAGGTCTCCAGCATGGAAAGCGAGAATTCTACCACTGAGCTACCAATATCCTTGTAGGCCATCGTAGAGGGTGGGCTTAATTATAAGCGCAGTGAGAGGCCTTAGGAGACCTTTGCTTAGGGGGTTGACTTGATCTGTTTTACTTTTTTTTTGTTACCCAGTTCTTTAAAATAATACTGCGTTTAAGGTGAGAGTTTACACAGAAAATTAGGCCCCCATTTAACAATTCATATACAAATCATTCTGTGATATGGGTTACATTTGTCACAATGTGTCATCATTTTCATTCCGTTCTGTTGTACCATTTCCAATATTCTACTTTCCCTGCCCCCTTACCTTCTCATATTTGCTTTAGAGTAATTTTTGACTATTTGGTCTCATATAAAGGATTTTTCTAACGGAGTTCATTACTTAGGTGATATTCTTTATTTTATGAGCCAATCTGTTATTTAGGTAACAGATGACCTCAAGGGATAATTTCAGTTTAAGGTTCAAAGAGTATCTCCGGGCGATAGTCTCGGGGAGTCCTCTAGTCTCAATAGGTCCAGTAAGTCTGGATTTTTTAAGAATTTGAATTCTGTTCCACATTTTTCTCCCATTCTATCAGGATCCATCTGTTGTGGCCCTGTCTGTTTTACAATTTTAAAAGATCTCTTAACGCTGCTCAGTAGGGAATGGATTGTAGCGGGGAGGGGCAAAATGTAATAGCAGAGAAACTTGACTGGAGGCAGTGATCCAGAGAAAAGACGAGGGAACCTAGTGTAAAGATTAGGACTATATTTTGTAGGTTAAGAGCTGACAAGGCTGGCTGATAAGCTATTTTTTCGGCAACCTATTTCTTCAAGTATGTTTGTGTCTCCCCAAGTTTTCTCTTTCACGAGTTGACAGCTCTGTGGTGATAGGTAAGACTGTTAAAGCTTAAATCCCACCTCCTGCCCACGTCTATTAAATTTAGGAACGGAGGAAGCACACAGAAGCATGAGTAAAGCTGCGTTTTTTTTGTTTTTTTTTTTAAATACAGTGGCTTAATTAGGAAGCAGGGAGAACTGGAAGAGCCTCGTTATCTCTTTTCTTACCTCTGCCTGTGTATGAATATGAGCTCTTCGTTCTTCAGGAGCTAGGCGTATACTTTTGTCTTTCATTGTTCTTCCCCTATTTCACCTCTTTATGAGGACTGATTTTCGTTAATTCACTACATTATCTTTCTTCATCATTCATTTTGTCTATTCGTCTTTTTTGACTGCACTGGGACCCAGTTTAAAGCGCACAAAGTATTGACATTCCCAAATGCTCAGACTTCCGAGCCTGTAATTTTTCTAAAGTGGAAGATTTCTTTTTCCCAGTAGTCCTTGCCACCTTTCTTCTATGTCTGCCGTTTATGTTCATACAGAACAAGGCTAAATAAATCGATAATGTTTTTTACTACCTAAAGACTAACTTATTTAGACTTAAATGTACTGTAAATAATATTTGCGGTTCATGTTGTGGCTTTTTTTTTTCAGTGTTTAAACAATGTTGGCATGTGTTTCTCATCCCTTATCATGAATGAGTGTCAAGTAAGAAAAAAAAAAAACAGTTGCAAAGTCAGAAGAACTGGTTCTCGATGTGGCTTTGCCACTAACTAGCTGTGTATTGTTGAATAAGTCACTTGACCTTACTAGATCCCAATTTCTTCATGGTTATGGAAGATGATCTCTAAGATCTCTAAGATTAGCCCAGTGTGGAGGATGGATACAATTAGAAGAGCAATTCAGACAAAACCAAACATACGTATTTTCTTTTATCACATTGATCTAAATTATTACATTATAACCCTCTTAACTCTATCTATGTCACTAAGATGTTATAAAGCAATTCTGCCCCATTCTACTCTGGTTGAGATCCCTGGGTGGCTCAAACGGTTTGCACTCGACTACTAACCTAAAGGTTGGTGGTTCGAACCCACCCAGCAGCACTGTGGAAGAACAGCCTGGCAATCTGCTTCTGTACAGATTACAGCTGAGAAAACCCTGTGGAGCTGTTCTACTCTGTAACACATGGGGTTCCCATAAGTCGGAATCGGCTTGACGGCAGTGGGTTTGGTTTGGCTCCTCGGGTTTAACTTTATGTGGTTATCTGAAATTGTATCACTTTGGACTGTAGGCAACAGTATTCAATAAAATATGCTAAGCTCAGGAATCTT